GGCGGTTGACAGGAAATTTATCGCTTTATCGAGATCCGCATTTACGAGCGTTGCTCTGCAAAATGACGTCGGGAGGGGAAAGCGCGAGGAACTGCGCATCGATCAAATTTAATAAATTTGCTCAGCGTTGTCGGCGAGAATTAAATACGTCGACCTGTTAATATCTCGCGCGACCGCGGTATTTTGCATGTAGAACCAGTCGGCGGCGAAATATTTCATTCGCGGGGGTTGCGGCGCGTCTCTTTCCTCCCCCCTCCGCGCCGATCGTTCCTCACGATTATCCGCGCGGTATAAATTTCACGGGGAAAATGAAATTTTATAATCAGCCATCGCGATCGCGCGCGTGACGGGCAAAACAAGCGCGGGAAAACGACGGGCGATCGATCTGCCCTATCTTCCGCCACGAGCCTCTCATGCATAACCATGAGCAATATGTGACATACATACGCCCTTGTTTCCCCTCCCCCGCGCCTCCCCCCCTCCCGAGCGCTCCCGCACCCCTTCTTCGCGTCCCATAAGCGTCGAAAGGATCGTTAGCACAAAGTAACGTCGGAAGGATATTCCGGCTTCGAAAAGGTCAAGAGTGTCCGCCGGGTCGCTGCGCGCGCGGCCCTCTCCCTTTGTCCCAAGCCGGAAGTAATCTTTGTCATCGCGATCAAAGAAATGTGTGAGCCCTCTCGGCGCGCGCGGTGATTCGCACGAGCGAGCCCGTCGCGAGATACGGACTCGTGAATAGAGCACGCGACATCGAGTCCGCAACGCGCGGCTCTTTGTGGTGAATTTGAAACGCCGAAACGCTCGGCGTCGTCTTGTCCAACGTCGATTGTTACTTTTTTCTTTTTTTTTCTTTCTTTTTTTTTTTAGCATTGATCCGATCGCTCGACACGCTGCTGCAAACGAGAAAATTGCAATAACGAAGTCGTACTTCCGACGACGCGCTTCGCCGGACGGTTGTTTCTTGTCTGAGCGCTCGCACGCACGCCCCGAAGCCCTTCAACAAAGGATTCGCGGATTACAATGTTGAAATCGTTCTATCTGGTAAAGCAGACTACGGATTAGTAGAAGCCAGCTGTTTGTCGCGAGAAGAGATCGAAAATAGCGCTTTTGTCGTTCGGCGCGCGGAATTGCGCGGTAAAAAACATCGATTTTAAGGTCGAAATTAGATTGTTTGTGGCTTCACGGGAAAAAATATCCCTTTTTCCCTTCCATTTGTTGCCTCTTCTACAATTTTTTGCGCTATATATGTGACTCGTATTGTAATAATTCCAAGTTTTCACTGCGACGAAGAAGTAAAATGTCTCAAGGATTTTTCGCGGTCGTCAAATTCTTTCTATCTGATAAATCAGATTTTATATTAGTAGAAATTAGTTTGTCGCGACGAGAGATCGAAAATGTCGCTCTTGGCGATAAGAGCGCGGAATTGCGCGTTATTTCTCGTAAAAAGCGTCTTCGACTTTAAAACCGAAAGCAGACCGTTTACGGCTTTACGGGAAGAATGATTCATTTCCTTCTTTCTCTTCTCTATATTTATTTTCTACAGTTATCTCTTCTACAGTTTTTTGCGTTGTACATAATGTGACTCATATTGGAATAATTCGAAGTCTTCACTGCGCGCCGACGAGGTATAAATGTTTCAAGGCTTCCTCGCGGCCGTCAAATTGACTTCTTTTTTACAAGCGTCAATTCCCATGAAACTGTTACGACTGTTAAACGTGTAATGCGCCGGTTTGACATTGCGCTTGTCACAGTTTCCTTCTACATCTTGAAGTGTTTCAAGGATCGCTCCAAGTTTATCGCAAGCAAGTATTAACGGCGGATATCGTTGAGCTTTACATCGTCATTAAACTTTCTGCAAGTCGCGTTTATGCGCGTGCTTGACAATCTGTAATATGTAGGTATTACTTTCTACAAGTCGCGTCTATATCCACAGATCCCCCCCGCAGCGCGCATTACGAAATTGCAGTAATTACAATACATTTTAGCGGGGATTGTCGTAGTTGCGCGAAAAGATTAATACGCGCGGCCGCGCAGCTTTTCCGACCGCGCTTGATTAATCTTAACGCACTCCCTCGCGGCGATTAAACGTCCAAGCCTCTATGAATATCGCGGCTATCGGGACAATCTGATATATCGCGCGATTAAACGCGCGTAGAATGCCGCGGATCGTATTTGTACGAGCATCGGAAATCGATAAGAGACCGCATTACCATTTTTCACATGGAATATACATACCGCCTACATTATATCGTAAGACATCTATCATCTTGTCAGTATCATTACAATAAAATATGTATTAAATGTAACGACGTTGAGCGTTTTGATGGCGGAAATTCCGCCCGGCCCCGAAGAACCGACCGGCGCAGCGGGAAGATGTATATCCCCGCCTCTGTATATCCTGTTTTTGTATTTTTATCTATTCATACGGGTTTTTTTTGTTGCTCCCCCACCGCGAATAGCGTTAAACGATAAATTTTCCATGGAAAACGAAATGTGTACGGAAAATGTGGATGCGATAACCCCGTCCTGACCCCGAATGGACTCTTGACCCCCTTTTCGAAATCGCTTAATTTATAGTAATATATCGTCCCGTCATGATTGAATGGCGTCCCCGTTCTATCGCGAGATGCGATCCTTGATATTCAGTCGTCACATTTATTAAGCCGACGCGAGTGTTTTGTGCGTTTAAATTTGCAAAAATTAACCCAGTCGACAAATTTCGAACCAATTTATCTAAAAAATAGATTTAAAAGATTTTTTTCAATTTTAAAATTTTATATTATTTAATTACACATTTGAATAGATTAATTATACAAAAAATATAACTTGTAGAAAATGGATGAAATTCCAAACCGACCCTTAAATATGCAACGCATCACCGCGATGCGCATTACGCGCTCAATAGAATTTTGATGAAAGCAATTTTTCATGAAATTTTAATCAAATAAAACGAATGATATTTTTTCATAGCTTTTATCATTCTTAACGCGCTGTTTAAATCACCTGATTACGCTAATTCGAATAAAACTTTCAGTTGCAATCGCGCGCAGCGTGCCTGCTGAGGTTGAGAAATTGAGGCGTAGCGTGTAGAAGTGGCGCGTATGTTTCATGCTTGAAACTTTTACACCGCACGCAGCCGACTTTCTAAATTAAATAGTGAAACTTTAAAGATTTAAATTCACGTCGGTTCTCGAAAGTTCGGACATCGCTCCTGCCGCTGGTTCCGCCGATTGTTCTTATTTCATAAATCCACGCCATTCCGCGGGATTACAATGAGCCCTTAATTAAAAAGCAGGACAGTGCGCGGTGAATTATGCGTGCTTTTAAGCAGATTACTATAGTTATGATGGTAATGTCGCTCCCATTTCTAATTTCCGCGCGACTATTATCCGACTACAACGCGTTTGCTTCAATGTTGTAGTCGCTGTAATTCACCGTTGTAAGAATAATTAAAAGATCCGCCAAGTGTTGCCGCATAAACTCGACATACCTGTCACCTTATACACATGCATATTTCTCGAAACTTGCGATTGACGATAGAGAACTTGGTAGAAATCCACACTCACCCGATTCTCTTTTCTGCTTTCACGTAAAATCGGCGATTTATAGTTATCAATATACATACAAACTGCTAATTAATGTTCATATATCCGGCTTCATTGGCTTTCTCTCGATTGCAGTCGCCTACGCACTCCTATTTGCTTCCACCTGCATCCGCGAATTGCCACGAATAATTGAAATTAATTGCGCTTCGTCCCCGTCTATTCTTTCGTTCGCGAGCATACCGGGGGCGACCATTGTTCGGCGCGAAAGGGTGATTAATGTTTTCCATCGTTGAATTAATTCTCGGCGGAAACATAAACGCCCTTTGTCTTCTCCGACGTAGATTAAGCTGCCGATGCTCTCTTATTTCTCTTTTTTATTTTGTTTTATGTTTCGCAAAAATGCACACTGCACCTGCGTGTACGTTCTCGCGTGTGTCACTTACAGGCACAAAGGTGACGTTACGCGCGATCGAAGGAGTTCGCGATTCTTCATTGTGTAATTCTCGGATATGGTTATTTTTCTTTGCACCGCCGAGCGGTGCACTAACCTTTTGCGATCCTTTGTCGAAGTGAGTTGATTAACTTTAAAACCGACCGTTAAAACTTGTCAGAATTGTTAACCTGAAGAATGAAACTTCGTCATCGAAGGAGAAGAAAATTTGAAACTTTTTTCTCCGCCGATGACGAATATTTCATTCGTGTTGGCAATTTTGTCGAGCAAGTTTAAACCGTCGATTAAAGTGACCCATAATGTTTTACGATAATTATTGCACATAATTCCGCAAATAATTGAGACAATGCATAATTATAATTAGCAAGCTGTTATTTTAATCTTCGTAAAATTTCTTAGATAACAGTAGTTAATTATTTGTCTTATCCGACAGCGTTAAAATAAAGACGAAATACTTCATTAATTCGGACCGCAAAAGGTTAATGTGATTCTTTCAGCAAAAATGTATATTAAGCGAGTGGAACAAAGGCTCCGTTCGTTTAATATATAATATGCGAAACGGATATTGATTCGCAATACGCTTCTCGCGTAATTACGCGACCAGTGCTGCTAATACGAAAAAAATAAGCATAATTTGCTCAGTCAGAAAACCGTGTTTGCATTCGAAGACTAATCGACATTGAATTGCCGTTTGCAATTGTACAAGTTTGCAAAAACGATAATGAAATGAATAACCCGATTTTCGTTACTTGACGAACACACACAAACGCGTGTCTCCGCGTGTGTATCCAATTTCTCGACGTTACACCGCAATTTCGCGCGGTAACAGACGATCGTATTTCCGCGATAAAGTTTAGCCGCGCGCATCCGGAGATGCCGCATCGCGACGCGCGATCTTATCGCACACTGCACTCACCCGCGTTCGCTGTCGCCGGTGCACCGCAAAAGTATATATGCGCACCGAGAGCTTGTACGCAGAGTGAGCGAATAATGAAAATCTGTCGAAGTGAGGCGGAAATCGACGCCGACGGTGAGCGAAACGATGCGCCGTGGCCGTTAAAAGTGCGAGACGCAGAGAAGCGCGGGCGGCCGAAAGAGCTTCAGAGTAAGAAAAGACACGGAGGAATTATGCCGGACAAAAATCCGGGCCGCCGAGATGGACAGCGCGAGAACAAAGATTTCCTCGCCGGCGAGATATCATCCATCGGCATGTCGCTGCGGCCCAGCGGGAGCGCATCCTCCGGTGAGTAACTGCTCTGCGAGGACGAATGTCTGATGCGAATCTCGTGGGGCCCGGCATAAACCACTTGATACCGTGTTGCATAATTTGCGCTGACGTACGGCGCATATGCTACAAATACGTCACATCTTGCGCACAGACAATGCAATGAATCGACTGTGATTCCCGAATTATCTTCAGACCTGAAACCTAATTTCTTTGTCAGTTTTTTTTAGCGACTAATTAATGATGCATCATTTTTAGGTGGTTTTCATTTTTAGAAGAATATCTGTTTTTTTCGAAAGAATGGATATAGTTAGCCACGTGGGAGTATTTTATTGGCGTTTGATGAAGTATTTTTACAGGTCGTTGCAGGAAGAAAAATAAAATTTGCCTGGGAGGAATATTTATTTTAATGCAAAAATAGTATTCTACTCGGAAGTGTTGGACATTTTTAGACGTAAAAGAAATCTGTACGATATTGAAAATTATATATATGTATATAGTGAACTTATAACATTTTGCAGCAAGGAGTTATCTTAAAAATCGAAATACAATTTTTTTAACAAACAGCAAAATATTTTAAAAATCGTGCTCAAAATCGGCGTAGAAAATAATGTTTTTAACCAGAAAATTAATGCAAACGAGTTACCAATCGCGCGTGACAGTTTGTAATTTGTCTGTCGCATTATACGGTCGACTTCGACTCCTTCAATTGTCGTAACAATTTTCTCACGACGTGTCCGTTATTAACTGCCTTGCCGCGTCTGCGATCCCCGGCGACGCATTTCGTGAGCTCGTTCCTCGCGTTTATGCACTCCTCAGAGACGGGCAGGGGAAAGGACTCGGCCGTGGTGAGAGCGGTGCGAAGTTGATTGAACAGATTCAGGATGACGCACTCTTTCATGAGGACCTCGGAATCGGCTATCCTGCCGTCGTCGGCGGCGCACAGCCACAATATACTGTCCAGCCAGTTTTCCTCGCCGCGCTGCTCGGTTTCGTAATTTATGCCGAGATCTCGCAGCCACAACGTCAACTGCAATGCAGAAATTCAGATTCGCGATCACTCTTCCGAGAGCGCTGATACCTTTCATATTATAATGAACCTGTCATCGATAACGCGAGCGTCGGAACGGAATGTTAGCATCCGGTCAGATATCGCGAGCAGAGATAGATTGCAATACTAATATCTCTGCTCATTTTACTCGCGGAATTCTCGCTTCAAGCTTTCTAGTCAAATCAAACTCGTTTAAAATTTAACACCCGCCCGCGTCATTCCGTTACAATGCGCGAATTCCGAGCCGACATTTCATCTCTTATTATCTTGCGACCGAGTAAGATTCTCTTGAATAACACAAGGTCTTGGGATTCTATTTTGATCGAATTAAAAATTTCTATGCTTCCTTGGCACTTATGAATCCTCCTATTTTCCGTCTGCAATTTTGAATATGAATTTTTGAAGAATCTAATAACGATCGCCGAAGTAATTCGAGGTTCAAAGTCCAAAAAAAGAGTTCGTGATATATAAATTTCTCTTGCTATTTTTTAAGCTTTCAAAATTCGGTACTTAAATTCCGGGATGCGTTCGAACGAGGAATATATTCATCGACTTGGCGAGAAAAATGCAAAAATGCGCTCACCGTGCCGCGGCACCGGAAGGTGATGGGGTTTCCGGCGAAGCGCAGCTTCTCGATGCCGGCCATCGGTGCGAGCTGGATCGGTTCCAAGCATGTTAAATTGTTATGCGTGAGGTCGAGTCTTTTGATGCCTTTCAGCTTCTCGAAGACCCCGGGCTCGATTGACGCGATGAGATTGTTCGAGAGGTCCAATTGCTCGAGTGATATCAGAGCGACGAACCACTGATCTCTCACCACTGTGATGGCGTTGTGCGGCAGACTAAGTTTCCGCAACTTCGTCAGACCGGCGAAGGCGTAGTCGGAGATCTCCCTGACGCCGCAGTCGTGTACGCTGAGTGAGGTCAGGCTTTTGCTGTATCTCACGAAAGATTGATCGGGAATGCTTTCTATCGCCGATTGAAAAATCAGGATGTCGTTGACGGCACGTCCGCCGTGCATTAAAGCGGTGTGTAAAGTCACGTTGGAGCATACTACACGCTCGTTGAATCCTATAATTAAATATGAAATGGAGTGCAAATAACCGCTTCAGAATTTGTAGCAGCCTTCAACTTTTAGATAGAATCAGATACAATTCGTCTCATTGAAAATATCAATATTTATTTAGGAACGTACACTGTTTGAATAAATCGAAGAGAATGGCAAAGTTACATATATAAAATTGATTGAATTATCTTCTCGTAGAAATGAGCAATTTTACACTTAAATCGTTTGATCAAAGCTGAAATATTCAAAAACTAATGTCAGGATACCAGAATTATGTCAAATAGAAAAAAGGATTTTTGTTGTTGTTTTAATAAACTGTATTTAATTAATAAATTCACGTATGATATTCCTCACAACATAATTGTATCTATAAAAAAAAGCATTATTTAAAAACTGTAAGGTGTTCGAAATTTTTGAGCGACAGGATGAAATGAGATAAATTAACAACTATTTCTTACTTTACTCTTCTATATCTTATTTTACATTTTATCATTCCAGCAATTGTAATTCGCGATGATCCGAGAATAAAACGAGTTTCAATTAATCCGCGTGGTTAAATTACTGAATAAGAGAAACTTGCAATATAGAGTCTATTTAATGCTAAATAATCAGTATGACATTCAATATTGATTTACTGTAATTCACATATTATCTAATATTTAATATTGAATATTCAATTAGCCGCGTAACTGATTTACGTGATTAAATCACTGAATAAGAGGGACTTGTGATACGAGAGTCTGTTCAACAGACGAGCACGTAGGATGTTCTCTTAAATATCACAGGGATATAGTCTTACCGTCCTCTTGTTTGCTGCTGGTGCATACCGCGTTTGCGGTATCTAGCAGCATGGAAATACCGGCGAGAACGAGAAACAGGAAGTGGCACATCTCGAAACGCGTGCGGCGCATTATTCTGCCTCGTGAGCGATTTCACGACTGACTCTATTCACCAAAAGCAGGATACGACGAAGGGAACTGTAGTTCCACCATGTACGCCGATTTATCGCAACCGACGCTTCCCGCCGATGATACCGCGTTATCAGTGAAACAATTATTACGCAAATACGTTCGTTTATGTATTAAATGTATCAAATAGTTATATGAAAAAACTATCAATTAATTATGTGACATCTTTAAAAGCTCGCAGATCTTTTTAACGATAGATTCTCAATTTCAAATCGATTTTTTCTCAGCGAAAATGTCGAGAACGATGTCGCGACTTCATAGTTTTCAACATCATCTATATTTTTGTTAAATTTGAATTTAAAATTCTACCTCTTCAAATTAATTTTAAATTTAAATTAATTTTGGAAATAAAATTCTATCTCTGTCGCTATTCAAATTAAAATTTTATTCTAAAAGTAAAATCCACTTAAAACTAACTAAAGAATATAATTCTATTTATTTATCCCGTGAAAGCTTATTATTAGTTCGCGAAAAGTCCTCTTTTTTTTCATCGCTTGGAAATTATCGGCGTCTCGACGTTTTCGCTAAGAAAAAATTGATTAAAGAAAACTTATGATTAAGAAAAAACATCTGCATATTTTTAAAACTTACGGTGCTTAAATTATTATTCTCTCCTCTCAGGTTAATTTTCGCATATCCGTTTATCATATGTTGCAAAATTAACGTGGATTATTTTTCATTTTTACGACAGGCATCTCGACCCTTGCGAGTTGCGGCGAGGTCGACGCACTACCCGAGCTACCGGCGCAGGATGAGGAACGTCTGCAGCGCGCTGCGCGTCTGCTGCAGCAGAGGCTGGTGCTACGTCAATGGTTGATGGATCATGGCCTACACAATTATTATCAAAGGTATTATCAATATTAATCAATATATAACTTCATCGATACGATGCATCTCAAATAAATACATTTAAGATGACAAACTTGACGAAAATCCTGAACGATGGAAAGTTTGCTAGACTCAAATGTTTTACAAATGTTTTATTATTGAAAATTTTCATCAATTGCCATTCTTCTGTTGATCTAAACAATTTCTTCGATTTATTTAATATTACCATATAGTCGTTCGCGATCCAGCGCAATGTTGAAACAATTCTATTTCAATTTTTAAAAATCTCCATTCGCTCGTAGACTTTTTTTTATTATAAATATTCGTCGTAGTATTGAAAAAACATGCCAAACCGTGTCCGATTCCTCGAAATGAACGTCTTTCTACGCCGAAATAAGCGTCTTTACTTGGCGGACTGGGAAAATATGACTTTGTCAGGTATACTTTGAGGATATACTTTGTCAGGTTGATGCAAATGGAGGTAATGTCCCTGGAGGATGTGTACTGGGTGGAGGACAATGCGGCACGGGCGGCCCTTGGCAAGGATCTACCGCGGTGGATTCAGGCTAGGCAGACGTTGCCTACTTCAAAGGAAGATTTAGAAACCCTTAAAGCGGATCTGTGGAGCGCCGTCGTAAAGAACAGCCAGCACCAGGACGCTTGGACATGGGGTACGAGCTTCTATTTCCACGAAATGAGATCCTTGGAAACGAGAACTCGCTTTCGTATATATTTCGCGCACTCATCGCGATAATGGCAGTTTCAAAATGGATTTCGGTAGAAGCGCGATTTCCACGCTGTTTTTTTTCCATGCGTTTTTGCGCATCAGTTTAAATATTTTATTTTGTGTCGTTGAAAAATCCGAACGGAAATCTTTAATAGAGTTCACCAGATATTCGGATATTTTATCTGAAACAAAATACATTCGTATAAAAAATAATTAGTGAAATAACAAAAATAACTAGAATTTTGAAAAATAAAATAGTGAAATAATTAATCTGAAATTAATTAACGTCTCGTCTAATGTTTGTCTAGTGTTCGATGCGCAGCGCGGTGATTAAAATGGTACACGTTTAAAGTGGCAGCTCAGAAAATTGATCCGTTTCAAAGTTATTTTTGTTAGTCCTTTTCCACGAAATGTTTTACGGGCGTTTGCTGAGAGACCATTAATTAAACGTGTAAAACTAACAAATAACTTCTTACATTCGCCAGGCGGTATGCTGGTAGTTTCCGTGTCGGTGGCAGGGCTGGTTACTCTGGCAGCTATGACGCAGCCAGCTCTGGCCCCCGAAGCGAAACACTCTCTTCTGCAGTACGTCACAGGGAAATATTTATTGCCGAGTAACTGCCGCGTTCATTTCGAGTGGGAAGAGCCTCAGCTGGTCGGCGAAACGATGACTTTTACGGTGAAAGTAAGTAAAGCGATTGCCGCCGGAAATCGTCGTCTCGTGGATTATTTATATTCGACAGCCGTAATCCGTTCGAGTGAAGCGTGTGTTTGAAAAATGGTTGCCTTTCGCAGGATGTGATTTTTATGTGACGTCTCGGATGACGAACGATCGAATTTCAATGATTCATATTTAGAAAAGAATAATCGTATGAAGCGAGACACGTGTGTGAATGAATATAATGAAGCAAGATGAGAAAATTTCTTGCCTTGCGCGCTAAATGTGCCGGTGAGATGTAAGGACGTCTGCTTGCAGTTTTATCAGCGCAACGGTCAGCCGTACCCGATATGTGACAAGGATAACTTGATCGTGGAGGTGACGGAGGACACGCGCAGAGTGGCCACATTAATAGAACTGGGAGGCACCGACCCTTTAGCTGCAAATACTGCAGTAGTAAAGTTTACTGTCCGCCATGCAGGACAATATCGAATAGCTGTACTTATCGGATCGTGTCATGTTCATGGCAGCCCGTTCCTTAAGAATTTCCTTCCTGGTACGTACATTCGGTGCACGTGTGCAGCGGACGAGAAAAGCCATATCCAACAATGCGACGGAAATACGATCAACGTATGATAAATTCCCAAGACGGAAATGTCGAGACATCAATCATTTTCGAGTTAGATTCTGAAAATAAACAAAATCTTGTTAGAGAATTAAATTCGAAAAATGCGAATTGGTTAAAATTCTTATTTGCTTTTTACTTGACAGATTTGAGAATCACACAAATGTCTTTAATGTTTAAAAAGTGTGAAACGGAATAATGATCTCCCTCGAATATTGAATTAAAAATTTGTAAAAAATATGAAATCTAGAACATTAAATAGAAGATTCAATTGCTATCGGATGATATTAATAGACTTATAATTCACCGCAGGTCCTCCAGATCCAAATAAAACGGTTTTTGTACGACAAAGTTCTACGGTCGTTTGTACAGCTGGAATAGCGCATTTGATGACAATAGAACCACGCGACGAATATGACAATCTGTGCAAATTTGGGCCTGGGGATCAGCCTACAGAAGGCTATAATGTCAATATTACACAGGTAAATCGGAAAATGTTGCGAGAAAAAAATCGTAATAATTAATGTCGTCTGAATTGATTCTCCGCAGATCGGTAGTTTAGTAGACAAAGGATCGTTGGTAGACTGTAGTATCCAGCTCGACTATGATACCCCAAATCAAAGGATTCGCTTGAAAGTGAGCTTTCCGAAGGGCGGATGTTACCACGCGACTGTCAGTTTAGCAGGATTGCAGTTGCACAATGGGGACTTCGACATCATTGTACTGGAAAGTGCGTAAAATGCATTTACATCGGACGCTTTGTCCATTGCGCTTTCATGCAGCGCAGCTCGTGCATCTCGCCCTTTCTTCTCATTAATAGGTTCCGTCGCAAGAATGGTGCACAATAACGTGGCGTCCAAGGATCCCGATATCTGTTACGCCGCCAAGCTGCTGGGCATGCAAGGAGAGAGATTTTCCAAACCGAAGAAGGTCTTCTGCTTCATCTCGCCTAAGCAGCTTACGATTAAGGAGTATTTGTTGAAATTCATCCCCAAAAGACTCGTAACGTTCAGACTGTGCCCTTCGACTAAGGTACGTAAACGTGTGAAAAATAACCACGCACGATTGACCACGATATCGATCGTGCTTCCGCCGCGAGATTTTAATGTGTTACTTTTTTTCATCGCGTTGCAGTTTCACTTTGAAAGTTCGACTAATCAGCACGAAGGCTACTATCCATTTTCGATAGACGACGGCTGCCAGCCTCCCGTTGAATTAATATCGCTATACCGAGACATAATAGCCGCTACGTTCACTCTGTTTCTCCTGAAAAACATCGGCGGCAGTGAAACGTTCGCCGATAAACAAGACTTTTTCTACCACGAGGTCCGCAAACACCACCAGAAGCATTATCACGAGAAGCTGTCGATGAAGGTGCAACGTGACAAGCTTCTGGAATCGGTAAATATAATCTACGATATTTGTATGCCGGAGCGTCGCGTAAAAATATGTATTAATTCTATTTTTCTTTTTGTTTTGTTAAAAGTCTATGAAAGCTACTAAAGGCTTTTCCGTGAGCGATTGGTGCAGGAATTTCGAAATCACTTTCCAAGGCGAACAAGGTGCGTTATATCTTCCAAGTTTTCTTTAAAAGTTTACAAAGCAATTACACGAGTGCTACTTCTGTTTCCAGGCGTCGATTGGGGCGGCGTGCGACGCGAATGGTTCGAATTGATATGCGCCGCGCTGTTCGACCCGGGAAACGGTTTGTTTGCGTCGTTCGGGGAGTCGCAACAGGCGCTGGTGCATCCGAATCCCAAACGGCCGCCGCATCTTAAATTAAAGCACTACGAGTTCGCCGGGCGTATCGTCGGCAAGTGTCTTTACGAGTCGGCACTCGGCGGTTCTTATCGCCAATTAGTACGCGCACGATTTACCAGATCATTCCTCGCGCAAATAATAGGACTTCGGGTGCATTACAAGGTAACATATCTGGCTTCTCGCTTGTACGTAAAGTTGATCAGCAAATAAAACAGTTGTACTTTCTTTTATGAATACCAGTACTTCGAGCAGGACGACCCTGATCTGTATTTAAGTAAAGTGAAGTACATTCTCGAGAACGACGTTGAGGAAATGGAACTGTATTTTGTCGAAGAAGAATACGACAAGGACGGCCAATTGTTGAAGGTAGATATTTTGACACTTCAAAATAACAATAAATATTGTTAGCTTTTATAACGAATTGTTTGGCAATCATTTAGAATCTGTAATCGAATTTCTTCTACATCAAAATCAATTTTTGTCACTAAATTTAGATTTTATTCCTAAACTTTTTTTCAATATCTCCGATAAAACAAAAGCAGTATAAATAAATATACAATTATCGGTGAAAATAAAAAAACTAAGTAAAAATATTTCAAATAAAGAATATCCATAGTTTTATATTTTATGCAAAAAAAATACTATTCTCATAAAGATCTGCGAAGCAGAATTAATGCATAGCGGCGGTTAAATTATATTTCTTAGCGCTATGATTCAATTCTATGTTTTGTATAGCTGGCGGAATTAATTCCCGGCGGCAGTAAGATCCGCGTAACTAACGACACAAAACTTCGTTACTTGGACGCGCTCGCTCAACACCGGCTCGCCAGTTCCATCCGCAACGAAGTCGATCATTTCTTGCGCGGCCTCAACGAATTAATTCCCGACAATCTTTTAGGAATATTCGACGAAAACGAATTGGAGGTAACGCAAGATCCAATCTGCCGCAGCAAACTTATTCACAAATAATGCTTCACGACTCTTTTTTTTTCGCAGCTGCTGTTATGCGGAACCGGCGAGTACAGCGTGGCGGATTTACGCGCGCATCACATAGCTAACGGGAGCTCGCCGGAGTTCCTCCGTGTTCTCGACTGGTTCTGGACGGCGGTGAGCAACTTCACGCAGGAAGAAATGGCGCGATTGCTCCAGTTCACCACGGGCTGCTCGCAATTGCCGCCCGGCGGGTTTCAACAGCTCAGCCCGCGTTTCCAGATTACGGCCGCACCGACGTTCGCTAACTTACCCACAGCACATACCTGGTGCGCATTCTTATCGCGTTATTCATTCATTTCTTTATTAATCGTTTTCACATTCGCCGTGCATTGACTTTCCGTTCACGCCACTTGGAGTGTTCAAAAATACCGATAAATAATTATCTTAATAAAACTTTAATAGATAAAATTATTAATTTGTTTGCGAACACACTTTGCAATTGTGTTAGACAATTACGTCCCGTCGGTAACCGTCGTGGCGTAAACGAAAAGCTTGGCGAACATGTTAGTGTGTATATATCGATTTATATTAATTAATATTCCTTGCAGCTTCAACCAACTTTGCTTGCCCGACTACGAGTGCTACGATCACTTTGAGCGGGCGCTGCTGTTGGCGATCAGCGAGGGCACCGAAGGCTTCGGCATGATCTAATCGGGGAACCGTAGGATCCACTAAATCTCTAGTCGAGCCTAGGTAGAGCGACACCATTAATTATAATATCTATTTTTCCTCTGACAGTAAAAACCACGTTCTCTCGGGAGGTTAGATCCCACCGCGAGTTCGCCCATAGCAATCTCTTTGCGGGATCGAACGGAGAGGGCAACTTTATCGCACGTTTTGATATGTAGCCGATTAGAACTTTTGGAATTATCTTTTTCCCGTTCACGCCGAAGACTATCAGGAACAATCTAATCTTCCGACGACGTAGGGGATACAGTTTCTATTGAGCCGCGGCGACGTTTTTATAAAAACGGAGGATATAAGTATTCACAGCGAGAGCAATGTTACCTCAACATCAGAATTGCTCAATATTATTGTATCGCGACCTAGCGTAGCTGAAACTCTTTATCATAGGTTTTACGTGAACGCGGAGAGAGAGAGTTGCATCGCTGCGTTCCTCGACGATGTAGTTTAACGTCGCTGTATAATGACGTAACGACAAAATCAAAATAGCGGCATAATTTCGTTTCACGGTGAGGCGAGATCGACGCATTCGACGAGGGGAGATCACAGCATCGAATGTTCCGTTTCTGTCAGTATTTCTTTCGAGTGCATTCTGTCGTGTAGCGCGCAGTGATTTCTGTACTTTTAAGTAATTTTAAGAATGATTATAATGCGATGTTCTAATTGAAGCTTTAGTCTGGTCGTTCAGTTCTTTTTATTTTTTATCTCACGTATGATTACAGCACACGGCGATTTTACGGTACTTCCAACGTCGAGTAATGAATTTAGTGTACATTCTAATTAGTAATAACATTCTGTACAAAAAAATTCCGAGAAAATAACGCTACGTATTGTTACATTTGTTTCTTGTCGACGCAAAATGACTCGCGATATAATAAGCGCGATTGCCTAGTCATGATGAAAAATACCGTATAAACATCGCATTCTGATGTATACGCATTTATTTAAGATTGCAATGATATACACTTATATTAAGTAGAGACGGACTATATAAAAAGTAGTAATCGCAATAGCAGGCGATTCGTTGCGGACGAATGGGCAACAGTCGCTAAATCATACTACGCCTCGCAGTAGCAACAAACTAATCGCCCCGTCGAATTATCTGTCGTCGGATAATATCGGCGGTAACTTATTTTTATCAGTTTATCATATTACGCGAAAACATCTAAGAATATAGATTTAAAAAAGGCACAACATACCCATTATTTATTTGACAAATCCTTATAAGCTCTCCCACTTATCACATAATCTTCCCGCTTCCAGTTTACAAAAGCAAAATTTATCCTACAAATACTGCATGGCGCAATAAAATTGCTCGTTTTTTATCCACAGTATATATATAAAATCTACTACTCAAAAATTAAATATTAATAAAAAAATTGATTGCTATATAGTTTAATCGAAAGAAAGTTAATGCTTGTCAATTTCTCGGCTGTCGCGCGTGCCGTCTGTCCTCGCCGTTTTCCCGCCTTCGAACATTGATCGTAGGATTCTCCTCTTCGCGGCCGGAGGCGTCTGAATCGACTTATCAATACACTTCCTCCGGCAAAAATTAACTTACACTCTCAGGAAGTTGCGGTCACCCTTAAACTTCTTATCTACATTCGCAATATATTAAGGTAATGATTACGTTAGAAAAAAAAAGCGATTATGCTATCGTTGAGTTATAATTAAGCTTACAAAGTTGTACGACGAAAGAGACAGGCAGAAAGTAAACAACGAAGCTATAGATTTCAACACATAGAGAACTTTCAAGCGAAACGCTGCTCGAATAAAATTTGCGTTACAAATATGTAATAAGTATTTATGTTAAAATTAATATAAGAAGAGCACTTCTGCCAAATTCACTTTTCAAAAGTCGATACAAGCGGCGTGAATTTGATTTCAACTGAGGTAATTATTTAACGAAACAAATGAGGAAATTTATTTACTCACGGCGGCAGTGGCAGAGTGGCGCTGGACAGAAACGTGAAAGTCCGTAAGATCGATGCGCGCATGATGCTGCCGGCAATCTGCAGCATCCGACTGCTCCAGCCACCCTCTTGCCGCAGTAAACGCTCTCTCAGTTCGCTCAATTCCAGCCTGACAGATACAAAACGGATACGCCATGAGACTTTATTAGTATTTGAAAAAGCAATTTTCTAGAAATATATATTACATTTGTGAATTATATTCCGTTTCGATGCAGCGGAGCTCTGCTTCTCGATCGGCCAGCTGATTCTCTAAAGAAACCGTGCGTAAGCTCAAAATCTTCACGTTATCTTCGCTGGCTCTCAATCGGTTCTCCAATCTCTGTTTCTCCGTCTCGGCGGCATGCAGTTCTCTAATCGTGTGATTTTGCATATTCATCGTTACGTAAATTGCAAAATGAGAGAGCAATGTATGAAAAAAACAAAGGTGAGAATGTATTGAGTTTTTTTGCACTTAAATGCTTTTAATCTAGAATGAAAATCTGAAGATCCAAGTGTCACCTGGAAGTGCGTTGCAGCTGCTCCTGCGTGGACTCGGCGACAGTTACCTGTGCAGCTAATTGCATCTGTATTTCTTTAACAGCAGATTCTGCTTTTTCTGCTCTGGCGCCACGCGCTGCCGCTACTACTTCGCTGGCAGATACCTAAGTAATTATTTTAAAATTATTAAATTGCAACAAAGGATCGTATGATACAAAATAACTTATGACTTATACAAAGCTCGTGTAAACTAAATTTTTAGAAAGAAGGATATTTCTACGATGAACTTATTCCCCGCCGAATCCCTTGCAGATTGTGAACAATGATACCACATGCGACCTTAATCGTGACAGATATATGTAAACGATTCACACGCACACAACTCTAAGTAGCAATTGCAATTTTTCGCGATATCCCGCAGTTTCACAATAAAAGTTAATAGGGCAAGTAGTATCGATCCTTTTTCCTGGTACGGAAGGAATATTACGTGATATTGAGTCACCGGCGAAGCGCGAAAGGTGTGACTCACTCGTAAGCTATATTTCCCTCGGCGTGCATTGACCTAAAGCTGACTAGCAAGTGAATCTTAAGATCTTGAAAAAAGTGATGGGTGTCGCGGTGTCACGTATTGCCTAGGCCGAACCAGACAGCAACGTCGTATCGTATCGATTTCGCGAAGCACATGCGAGCAGGTGGCAATCTTGATCTTCGTTGCAGCAAAAAACATAAAGTTGGAGCTTTTAAAAACGCTTCAATAAACAGAGGAGTTACTTTGCATTTGAGTTTCAATCTGAACACCGATTCTACAAAATGTTTTCCTGAAGCTTAATTGAAATTTTAAGAAATTAAATATTTCGGAGATTAGAATTATGTTTTCTAATATTTTAAAGAATTTTTATGTCAAAGAATATAAAGAAGAATATAAAACAAATTTAAAGAATTTAAGTTTGAAGAATTTTAAAATTATTTCTGCAAAATTGAGTTTATCATGGAATGTCGTGCCCGAAATTTCAAGTTATCACGATATCCACCAATATATACACAGAAAGCGAGTCATTCTATTCTGCAAAATTAAACGAATCACAGCGAACGACAGTAATCCGAGAGCTTAAAGCAAGGTCGACGAAGGGCTCCCTCGACAAGCTTATAAAACATTAATCGTAAACACGATTACCTCGCTGGCGACTGCTATAAAAAAAAATTCGATTAAATGGGTCAGCGAAAGATGTTGCTCAGCAAGCTAACGTCTGAGTCGTTGGAGATGTCTAACTTTCAAGAAAGGGAGGAAGGAAAAAAAAAGAGCAAAAGTGAGTCACTGATTCGTGGAATGCAAAGGGAGTTCGCGCAGAAAGCGCGCGTGGAAGAGTTCACCCCCGAAGAGGTGGAGGAGGAGGAGGAGGAGGAGGAGGAGGAAAAGGAGGTCGCAGCCTCGTGTCTTCAGCGAGCAATGAGTCACCGAATAGCAGATCAATTTTACTACTATTGCGCGATTGCATTACATGTACGAGTCTTCTTAGACAGAAATCATAAGTTTCATCGTTATTCACTTAATATTGTTCACACACATGTAGCGTATTCTTCACTAAGTGCATAAATTTCAAATTTTGAATTAAATTTTCTTTCCGAAAATTCTTTTTCTGACGCTCAGCTTTTGAGCAATGAAAAATAAACAGATTTTTAAAAACTCAGCTTTATAAAAATAGATTAAAAAATTATATTTCAATTTTGAGTAGATTCTCTATTTTGAATTTAACTTTTAGATTTTTAATTCGAAATTTAATTGTAAAGAGATCTGTTGAAGGCTGCAAAATTGTGATAAATAATGAATTTCTTCAATTTTTTAATTAAGAAAATGTGGTTTAGCCAAAAATTTCTTTACTCCAAAAAAAAATCGCTTGTTAGTGAGAAACACCTTGTACAGATAGATTTTCTTATCTTTCTTATTGAATTAACTTCTGAAAAAAACGCAACCTTATCTAGAAGAATTCTCTTGTCCTCTCGTAACTTCAAAAGTTTCTCCCGATCCTTCGCCATTTGAGCGTCAAGTGCCTTTAATTGATCCTGAACGGTCAAAAGTTCGTTCTTCAAGTTTCCAACAGCAACTAATCGCTCCTGCGAGACTTCCTCAGCGCGCTTTAGTTCGACCTCCAGCTTTTCTTTTTCCTGCAATAATATATCTAAATAGAATCTCGATCTAATGCAAAGTGAAACTTAATACACCAAATACAAACGATGAAACTTATAAAAATAATAAACTATTCAAACGCATTAATTCTCTCTGAAAAATAGCTCTTTTTTAGCATACAAAATGAATTGCAAGTGCGGTGGTTGAAATGAAATGATCTTCCACCATGAATTAAATGAAATTAGACGATGTATGCGATCTATATCTCATTCTATAGCACATCACACGCGAGTTTGACGATTATGGCACGCACGGAATGTAAATATTCCTCCGTCATCCCTGTCGCGTGTCGACATTAGGCGTGCCACACATTCTCACAATAATACCAATGTAATTAAAAGCACTGTAAGCAGCGCATTCATGAGAAATGAGCGCTTATTATCATCGGCGCAACGAGAGTAATGCAAACTAAATAAAAAGGAGCGTTATTAAATTCATTTTAACACTGTATCATATATATTGCGAATGCAATACTGAAAACTAATGTTTTCAGAATTAAAACTCTCTGTATTTTTGTTAAATATAAAACTGATAGCATTGCTAGACGCTTAAATGACGACCATTTAATTGTGTGCGTTTTTAAAACAAAACTTTAATTTTTCTTTACAACATTCCAATGTTAAAAGCTGAAATTGGAAAGAAGCACGATATTTGAGCAAAAAACAAAATACAGTTTAAAGTGTGATTGCTCGTACCGATTTGATGGCTTCACGTTCGCGCACCGCCTCTTCCAGCTGTGATTTCTCACGATGCAGCTCGCTGTTCAATCTGCCAACCCGATCGTTCTCGGCGAGTAACAATCGACGTAGGAACTCAATCTGCAGATGCAGATGTTCCACCTGTTGCTCCAACTGCGCGATCTCAGTGCGTCTACGTCGCCAAGCGTTAAGCACTAACATGTGACATACTACATTCGCTGCTTTGACAGTCGGATCTTCTGTTGGAGCGACTACGTCGCCTTGTTCGGATTCCATGGATGGCGTAGCATCCGTCCAAGATCTGCCACTGCAGTAGGCATTTCCACCATTCATCAAGATCTCTTTGGGTCTGTCGGCAATCTCGTTGAGACGATTGACAGAGGAACCACTTTCCGACCTAGATAACATATTTCTTGATTAAATCATATACTTATGACATTTTTATTTTATTCTCTAGTTTCTTTCTCTATTTATATATAAAATAATAGAGATATCTGATTTATTTTGTACATTCATTGAAATTATATCTTGTGCTATCAATAACTTTAATAAGAAAGTATCCCTATATTATCCAACATTGTTATACATGATACATTTGCCTTTCAAAACTCACTTGAGCTCGCCGGCATCGACGCTGGGCAGGGAAAGGTCCATCATTGACAGGCTCTTCTTGCAGCGAGGAGTGCCTATGGCCAGGAAGCCAGGTGGACATCGGTCGGAGCCGTTCTTGGAAATCGGCGTCGAGATCACGCGACTGATCTTAGTAGTCGCCGACAACCCGACCGCTAATCTGTAGGGTCTCTTCGGTACGACGCGATGATCGGTGACACGGTACGGACTTGGCCGTGGATGGCATCGTACGGGCACCGGGGCGCACGGCAATCTACGTTGCACGCATCGGGGTAGCTTGGTATCCGCCCGGGTGACGGCCGCGGGTCGCGAGCTTGGATTCCGCTTCGATAGGGTGGTTGTTTCTGACATGTCGCTCTTGCAGCTTGCGCTAATAAGATCGTCCTCGAATGCGATCGGGATTGTTTATGCGTTGCGCCTCACGTCACGGGGACAGAACACGAATGTTGCTGAAACAAATGATTGTCACTGCGGATGTATCTGGTGTGCAAATATCAAACTTTTCTCAACGTTAGACACACGTAAACGAACAGAATTGATTTGAATGATTAAATAGCAATCCATACTTTTAGCCTATGCAAATACACGTTTGAGCTCCGCGTTTCGGCTAGTTCGAATAGTAGAAGAAAACAGATGTACTGTTTTCTTCTGTCCTACGGTTTCGTCGAACCATTGCATGTTTCTTCGATTAATGCATTGAAGATGGAAATTCGGAACTTTATAAATAATTAATTATTGCTTTACTTCTGATCAACTTTTATAATTTTATTAACATTAATAAATTTTAAGAAAATAAAACGAGGCGATAAAATTATTTCAGAATTTTATAAGTACTTTGATACTGTGAAAACTGATTAATATATAATTAAATATCATATAATTATCTAATCGAAGCTAGGAACTCAACTTTTAATATTTAATTAATACATTATTAATAATTGGTATTTTCAATTTTACAACAAAAGAAACCTTCCAGAAATCTTAAAAAAGACATATGAATTATTTAAGAATTTTATCAGCACTCTAACATCGTCAAAAGTAACCTAGAAGTGAAAATAAGTATGCAAAGAGGTTAAGATTACCCGTTGGAACGGCCCGAAACACTCCATTTTAACAGGGATTTTACGACTTTGCTACCAGGAACACATGATGATATAGGAGCTCGCTCGAGTAAACGGAGGTGTGTCCTAGCGGTCCCAGAGCTCGGCAGAGGGGAGCTGGGTAGTGGGGAGCCCTCTTTGGATTGGCTGTTACCTTGCATGGCTGCCATATGGAGGAGTGACTACCGCTGATTTGGGGCCTCTTTTGA